CTTATCCCTTTTTGCCAGGAATTTTGAGCTGCCCTGGTTGGATGAGCGTAGCCGATGCAGGTTGGAGATCCAGAAGAAGCAAACGCCTCACCGGACGTGTAGGAAATAGCTGTGCTGACAAGAACCCTCTGTCTTCAGATAGTTGTAGCATGCCATTCCCAGAGAGTGGCAGAGACCTGTATATGTGACCTATGTCCTCATGTATGTTATCATCATTCTTTGATAATACCCTTCCATACTCCCTCAATTTTAGTTTTGTTTTCATCACTCTGATTTCCTAAAAACTCTCTTTCATTGGGCTAATTGTCAATTATGGAGGGTGATTGGGATTTTCTTTCCCTTTTTGGGGAAATGAGTTCTCAAGCTAAACCTATAGGATGGGTCTGCTTCTACACATTTGCCTATGTTAAAGGGGTACAAGGGCTCTCTTCATTAGACATGTGTAAGATGAAGCAATCCCTGCCTTTAGGAGCTGTCTGCCTGGCACTCTTCTTGCCCTCGCATACTCTCTGTATAGCTTGGGTGTAGTGGTTTTTACCCTAAAATAAAACAAAAAACCTCACCATGAGCATTAGGACCAGATGAGGAATAACAAGTGAAGTGATGAAGCAAGTCATCTTCACAGAGTAGGAAAAAGATTGGAGATTTGGTAGATGAATATCTGGAAAAGATAGTTGTTCTCTTAAAACTATTCTGTGATATAGCCATGTGGGAAGGGATATGTGACTGATTATTTTCTTAATTAATGGGTAACTAAAGTTCTTCCCCCACCCCTCAAAAAATAAAATCTTTGGAAAAGTGAATGGGAATGTTAGTTTCAGACAAGTTGCGGTGCTAAAAAGAAGCATTTGTCATTTGGGGATGGCATGCCAGAACCTGTATAGATGTCCTTGTGTCACATCACTTCTCAAGTATTCCTTAGTTGGGCTTTATCCTTTTAGCTGAGCTCTTGATGGTGGGGTAGAGATTTAGGGAGGGTGGGGGGAGGGGGTGGAAATATGTGCTTCCTTTGGCTGGCAAATGTCTAAATCTTGAAACAAACAGATGTACCTAATGAGCTTCTCCATTCACTTTGTAAAAATGCATTTGTATGTGTACCATCTTGGTCCCTTCCCCTGCCTCTGTTTTGTTAGAAAAATTTCAGGACAGCACTCCCAGGCCACTTTGGTCTCAGTGTACGATCCCTGTTAACTATCTGGAAGAAAAATAGAGACAAGACTTCTGGTCTTAAATATATAGGAATTGCCTTTCCTTAGTCTTCAGGACTATTGTGTGAAAACAAGTAGGGGTCTAATCTCCTAGAAGGTAGGGGCTTTTATCCATGAAGAGAATATGTCCCCAGATTATTAGCACTTTTAGAGGAGAAGCCAAGGTATGTAGGGTGTGTGGCCGGCCCATCAGTGGAGCATGAGAGAGAACGGGACACCATTGTGGGAAGAGAAGAAAAGTTCCTCAGGGGCCTCCCACTGCTAAAGCTTTTTGTGAAATGTTGATCTGTGCTCCCTGGGTTTGACTTTGAAAGAATTATTCCGGCAGCACATGTAGTATTCTTGGATGATCTTGCTGCTCTTATTTCTCTGTGTGTGTGTGTATGTGTGTGTGTGTGTGTGTGTGTGTCTATGGGTTTTCATTTGTAACTCCATCTGCTTAGGAGAGTGGGCTCTCTATACGGGAACCTGCTGCAAACTTCATTGCAGTAAGGATGTAGAGAGAAATAGGACTTACTCCACTAGGGGCTCTCATCTCACATCACACCTTAAGGAAAAGGAGATTTCTAGAAAAATTGGGCCAGATTTTCTTTGTTCTCCATTATTTTAATGTGGCAAGCTGTTTAGTAGTCCTTTTCTGACCTGTTATGTTCCTTTATAATGTGCCCCAAAGGAAAAAATACCCCAATCAGTGTCTCTTTACTTTGTTCCCTGATCCCTCTCAGTTTCTTCTTGATTTCAGCACTTGTCAGATTCCTAATTTTAGGGGTGAGTTAGGAAATTTAACCTTAATATTTCTGCCCTACACAGGGGACTCCTCAGATATTGAACTTTTGCTTGACTGAGAGGAATCCATGAGGTGCTATCTGGCCAGACTTAAGTGGATTCTATTTCCTTGGTTCTCCCTTTCTCTGAGGGCCTCTTATTTTATTGTCCCCTCTTCTAGATAATTCTCCTTTGATTTGAGTACTTTGAGGTTCCTTGACAAGGAGGTTGGAGCAAAGTTCCAAGGGTGAAATTACAGTGTGTTAAGAGTGAGGGGAAAATTTGTCTTATTTTTCCCTACATGGGATACAACACTGTGAAATTCAATCTTCAACTGAAGGCCCTGCAATTCTCCTAAAACATAGTTTTTTGTTTCCTTCTTTAACGAGGTTTAAGCTAGCGTTAATAAATTAAAAAGAGAAATTGCTTGTCTGTCCACTTCAGCTTTGTTTTATGCCCATTTCATATTGTTGTCTGTGTTGTAATTCATACTTTTGATACCATTTCTGATGTGTAAAATTGGTTGTCTTGTAAATATCTTATAAAGAGTTCAATTGTAAATAAACTATTGTGGCTGTTAATTTTTGAACTTCTGCTTCAATTTATTAGGTTTGTTGAAAAATTCTGCTTGTATATTTAAAAGATGGGAAAAAGAATCCATTTCCACAACAAAATAGAATAACATAATTTTCCCTTTTATATAATGTACTCCTTTCCATTTGTGTAGAGTGCAATGTTTGTTTCATCCCTCTGTTGAGTGCTTCCTTATACATAACTGGCAATTTTAAAAACGAGATTGTAGGATACTTGATGCCCAATGTCTACAATAATAAAATCTCACAACTGGAAATATTTTATAGGTCATCTAGTCTGACCCTTTTTTTTTTTTTAAAGAATTTTTTTAATATTTATTTTTCAATTCTCGGCGGACACAACATCTTTGTTGGTATGTGGTGCTGAGGATCGAACCCGGGCCGCACGCATGCCGGGCGAGCGCACTACCGCTTGAGCCACATCCCCAGCCCCTAGTCTGACCCTTAATACATGATTTCTCTTGGACAACATTCCATACAAATGAATCCAGCTCTGCTTCAACCCAATATCTTTCCTAGGCAACCCCTATTGGGTCCTCTCTATTCCTGCAGGAATTCTCTTCTCACTTGAGAAAATCCTACTGTAATTTGCTGAAAACAAAAATAACACCTAACTTCCTGTTGCTTGAACCCACTGGTTCTTGCTTTGCCTTTGAGGGTGATGAAAAAAAGTTAATCCCTTCTTTTCCTTAGAGTCCATCTAATAGTTAAGATGGCTATGGCTATCCTAAGTCTTCTCTTCATGGTAAACATTTAGAAATCTTACAATTGTTTCTCAAAAGAAAGAAATTCAGAATTTTCAGTTCCTTCTGGATGAGTGAACAGTTTACCCATGTCCATTTTTTGAAATTTATTTTTTAGTTTTAGGTAGACACAATATCTTTTTTATTTTTAGGTGGTGCTGAGGATAGAACCCAGTGTCTCATGCAAGCTAGGCGAGCACTGTACCACTGAGCCACAACCCCAGCACCCTGCCATGCCCATTTGAAAACTGAATTTGGACCAAATAACTGAAAGGACAAAATGACAGACTTCCCTTTCCTTATTAGACATTAAAGTTCATATCCTTATTTGCATTAATTTAGCTTATGATCAATAAATTCTCCAGGTCTTTTTCTGTAACTTATTAAATCGTACATCCTCCATTTTGAACGCAGGCAGTTGGATTTTTGGAGCTGGATTTACAAATTGTTACATTTGGCCACCTAGACAGATGGTTTTTGGCCACCAGTTAAGATTGTTTGGATCCTAATTCTGTTTCAGAAGTCCTTCGTGGCGGGGGCGGGGGCGCATGCCTGTAATCCCAGCAGCTCCGGAGGCTGAGACCTGAGGATCCCAGGTTCAAAGCCAGCCTCAGCAACAGCGAGGTGCTAAGCAACTCAGTGAGACCCTATCTCTAAATAAAATACAAAACAGGGCTGGGTGTGTGGCTTAGTGGTCGAGTACCCCTGAATTCAATTTCTAATATCCCCCATCCCCCCAAAAAAGAAGGCATTCGTAATTCCTTCTAGTTTCATACTGTCTATAAATTTGATACGCATAAGGATCCTTAACTATGATTTACAAAAATATTAGCAAAGAATTTGTGCTATATCAGTGACTTTATTTGTTCGTTATATAATCTTAATGTCAACTCCCCTAGGTACAATAAATAACTTGGCTCCTGCACCTTGTATATCCTTATTATGGTCTAAGAAAATATAATTTTTTTCATTGCTGACAAACGCCTTGCTAAAATCAAAGCATTCCCGTTTGGTAACCCTGAACTAGAAGGAAATCAGATCAGGATTTTGAACCAATACTAGTTTCTATTTATCTGTTTAAATCGGGCCTAAAATCTTGATGAAACTAGCATCACTTTGGGAGAGGTGGCAGCTGGGATGTGAAGTCGCATGAAAAGGAGAGGAAAGGAGGACAACAGAACACACTGCAACATTAAGTTCTCTGACTCCACTGCAGATAATTAGTTTCTCCTTCACCCCTTAGCTTAAATTTGATGTGGCAAATATGACCCAGTACTTCAGCTTTAAAGATTTACCTTGATTTGATTCGTGATTTGACCAAACGAATGCAGTAAAATGCTCTGCCTCAAACGTAGGCAAAACGAAAAATGGAGACAGAAAACCATGAAACAGTCCAAATGCTGCAATGGAGCCATGACAAATCTATCTACGCCTTCTACTAGGAAAGCCCAAGATGGCCGGGTGCGGGACCCGAGTGACAGCCAAAGTCCAGCTCCCGGCACCCTGCGCCTGCCTAAGGGAAGCCAAGGACAGTATCACTCTCCCTTACGTCACCGAATACGTAATCCCGTTTGCCCGAAAACGTGCCGCAGGGCGCAGGCTCCGGCCCCGAAGAGCGGGGCGATCAAGCGCAGGACGTGAAGCATGCCGGGATTAGCTCTGGAGCTTCCCAGTAGCCTCTGCGGCGGGCGTGGTGCGTAAGGAGCTGGCCGGCGGTGGCCGTTCTCCGTAAGATGGCGGACCGGCGGCGGCAGCGCGCTTCGCAGGATACGGAAGACGAAGAATCTGGTGCTTCGGGCTCCGACAGTGGCGGCTCTCTAGCGCGGGGCGGCGGGAGCTGCAGCGGGAGCGCTGGAGGCGGCGGCAGCGGCTCTCTGCCTTCCCAGCGCGGTGGCCGCGGCGGGGCCCTCCATCTGCGGCGGGTGGAGAGCGGGGGCGCCAAGAGCGCTGAGGAGTCCGAGTGTGTGAGTGCGCGCGGGCGGGGCGGCGAGCTGGCTGGGGGCGGGGTGTAGGTGAGGCGAGATGCTGGGAGCAGATTTTGTTAGAGAAGAGGAGAGTTATCCCGGGGCGAGTTTGCAGCCATCCGGAATCCCAAGGGAAGGAGAGGTTGGGGAATTCTGGGGAGCGGGGAAGAGACGCTGCAGATGAAAAGCAGATGTTTATTCAGAAATTGGGACTGGAGATGAAGAGTCAGGCCTCCCTCAGATATTACTTGTTAAAGATTTACCTTTCTCCATGTCTGTTCAACCATTTTGTGTTGAGTCTTCAACAGTCCACCTACATTTCTTCATTGGGCTTCTCACTTCTGGAAATCACAGAGCTAACCCTGTTTTCTCCTTCCCCTCAGGAGAGTGAAGATGGCATGGAAGGTGATGGTGAGCACTGTTTTTTACCTCATCACAAAGAGTATTTGTGTACATAAACTCAGGTCACCTATTTCCAACAATAGACATCCTCTCAGACTGTTACGGATTTGAGGGACGGTGCTGCAGAGTGGCTTTTTGGAACATAGTGGTTAAGAGCATAGTTTTTGGCTAGGCACAGTGGTGCATGGGGATCAATCCTCAGCACCCCCACTCCCCAAAAAAGAAGAGGTTCTGGGAGTGTGGTCTTGGGGCAAATCAGTCTCAGTCAAATTCCCCTACTTTTATCTCTTTGGTAGGTTGATGTAAGAATTGAGAATTTTAGCCTGACCCACAATAAAAAGTCAGGAATGCAATTATAATTTCTGTTGCTTTTTCTTCACAAATTTCTGTTTTCTTTTAGCTGTTCTCTCCGACTATGAAAGTGCAGAAGACTCAGAAGTGAGTGTAATAGATTTTTTCCTGTGGTGTAAGTCATAAAATGCATTTTGAAAATATCTGCAAAAATACCATGACCCTACTTGTTTCTCTTCTGTATTCTTCATTTATGCTTCTTCAAAACTTAATGGAAGTATTGTTTAGTTAGTGGTAGAAACTTGGGGCAAGCCTCTTGAAGCTACAAGTGTTGGTTGAACTGTTAGTAGTTGGCTTCTCTATATTTGAAAAAAGTAATGTTTTTGTTTTTTGTACCAGGGATTGAACTCAGGGGCACTCGACCACTGAACCACATCCCTAGCCTATTTTGTATTTTATTTAGAGACAGGGTCTCACTGAGTTATTTAGCACCTTGCTGTTGCTGAGACTGGCTTTGAACCAGATCCTCCTATCTCAGCCTCCCAAGCCGCTGGGATTACAAGCGTTTGCCACTGCGCCCAGCCTTTTTTTGATTTTATTTTTATTTTTAGAGATGGGGTTTCCATGTGTTGACTGGACTTCTTTCTACCTTAGCCTCGTGAGGAGCTGGGACTATAGATGCCTGAACCAACATGCCCAGTTTGAAAATAAGAGAACTTTCAAGTCCTTCAAAAGGTGTTTGACAGTTTTATGCTGTCTGGGTTGAGAAGCTAGACAGTTGGATTATTACTTTTTTTTTTTCATATGTACCTGGAGACTTTGAAAGGACAGGATATTGAAAGATTCAAAAGCATCTTTCATATTTATTTATTTATTTTTTTTTTGAGAGAGAATTTTAATATTTATTTTTTAGTTTTCGGCGGGCACAACATCTTTGTTTGTATGTGGTGCTGAGGATCAACCCGGGCCGCACGCATGCCAGGCGAGCGCGCTACCGCTTGAGCCACATCCCCAGCCCAAGCATCTTTCATGTTGTAGATAAGACTTTCTGACTCTAGGGAAAAGTTTCCCAGAGTAAAGCTTATTTGTTTTGATTGACTAAGTAATTATAGATGCTCCCAGAATGGCTGTCTTAGAGTTGTTGAATAATCCTGAGTTCTGAATTTAATGATGTGAGTATATGCAGGAAGAATTGACTTGTGGATTAAAGGTTCTGTAAATTTTATGAAACTGTTATTACATCTTGAATTCTGTTAAACCTCTGGAGATGCAGCAGTGAACACCTAACATAACTACTATCTTTCGGATCTTACAAAGGAAGATCTTAAGGAAGTCCACAAACATTTAGGCAGTCTTACCTAAATGAAAGAGTTGTCACTTTATGACAGCTCTTGGGATAGGGTTAAGAAAAGTGTTGTTATAACTGAACACTGAATCTATCGCAGGCATTCAAGAAAGAATATTATAATTAGCAAAACAAAACTTGTACTAGGCACAGGGGGAAACAGGCAGGAAAGCCCAGAGACAGGAGAGAAGGTGGAGCATTTGGAGACTTGAAATAGTTTGATATGGTTAGAGCATTGTTGGACAGGATGGGTAACAGAAAGAAAGGTAAGTTGATGAGCAGGGGCTGGATCATGAAGGGGATTACTTGTTCTTTTTCTTTACTAAGTACCTGCTTTATGCTAGGACTGTATTAGGCACTATGTAAAAGACAGACGTAGTTCTTCCCTTGTGGAGTTTTACTTTCTGGATCAAAGAGGGGAAAGAGACATTTAAGCAAGAATTATTATAATGTTTGATAAATGCCATGATATTGGAAGCATAAGATGTGTTGGGAGCACATTGCAGGGGCAACTGATTGTTTTTAGGGTATTTGGAAACAGAATGGGATGTTTAAATAGGAGTTAGCCAGGCAGAGAGGTTTTTGTGTTTTTTTTGGCACTGGGGATTGAATCCAAGGGTGCTTTACCACTGAACTACATCACCAGCCCTTTTTATTTATTTTTTTTATTTTGAGACAGGGTCTTGTTCAGTAGCTTAGGGTCTTACTAAATTGTTGAGGCTAACCTTGAACTTTCGAGTGTCCTGTCTGGGATTTGCTGGGATTACATGCCTGTGCCACTGTCCCTGGCTTAGGCAGAGTTTTCTGAATAGCAGGAACATTGAAAAGAAGACCTATAAGGTTGGATTGCATGATGAATTGTATAATATGAAATGTTTAGTATAACTAAGACATAGGAAGGCAAGGGCTGGATATGGTGGCAAATGCCTCTAATCCTAGCAACTCGAGATGTTGAGGCAGGAGTCTCAGCAATTTAGGAAGGTCCTGTCTCAAAAATAAAAATGATGGGGCACACAGTATGCATGCCTGTAACCCCAGCAAATGAGGAGGCTGAGGCAGGCGGATTAAATTCAAAACTGGCCTCAGCAACACCCTGTCTCTAAATAAAATATAAAAAAGGACTGGGGATGTGGCTCAATGGTTAAGTGTCCCTAGGTTCAATCCCTGGTACCAAAATAAAAATAAAAAAGTATTTGGGTTCTATTCTAAGGAAGTGAAAAAATTTTAAAGTGTTTTAAAATAAAAGTCCCATATGGTTAGATTTAAATTTTAAAGCAGTGTTTGCCAGATCCAGAGAATATTTCCTTGAGAAAATCCAGTTGGCCAGTACCTACTGAAACAAAATCTTGGAAGGGCTTGGGAAACTTAGATGTTTATGTTTGTAAGATCCCAGGTTGATGCTAATGCACAGTAAAATTTGAGAAGTAATTATAACAGTTCTTTTATCTGTAGCAGGGAGAATTGATCGATAAGATTGGACAGAGAGGAGCTAGTTAAGGAAGCTATTAGGGAAATATAGGCCAGCAGTGAGTGTGGCATTAGAATAGTGGCAGTGAAAATAGAAGTGGACAGAATTGAAAGTTGTGAGAGGCTTGGGATGAGGAATATTTTGCAGTAGCCATTACAGACTGGAAGCATTGGAAAGATTGCTTGGCACTTGGAATGTTTAGTGAGGTTTGGTGATTCTGAATTTATAATGGCTCACCATTCTATATATAAAGGAGTTTGGATGTTGTCTGATGGCAAGGGAAAAAATGGAACTGAGGATTTACATGTAGATCATGAATCAAGAGCAGGGCAAGAGAACTGTTAGTTTGTTAGGATAGTCCAAGAAACATGATAGTGGTGCTCTAAAGAAGGGTAAAACACCAGTGTGACTGGTAAGACATGGATAGATTTAAGAGATTTTGGTGGTACTACTCTTACCTTTCAGTAAATGAATTAAGGAGTCAAAGGAATGTCCCAAGTTGATGAATAGTGCTAATTAATTACTAAAAAAAGGGACTATAGGATGAAGAGATTTTACAAGGACCATGGTGGGTTAGGGTTTTTGTTGTTTTGGTACTGGGGATTGATACAATGTTTCATTAAGTTGCTGAGGTTCTCACTAAGTTGCTGATGGCTTTGAATTTGCCATCCTCTTGCCTCAGCCTCCAGAGTTGCTGGGACAACAGGTATGGGCTACCACTGCCTAGCCATAGGTTAGGTTTTAGATGTTTTCTTTTGTTTGTTTTGCAGTGGTATGAATTGAACCCATGGCTTTGTATGTGCTAGATAAGTGTTCTGCCGCTGAGTTACACTCACTGAGCCAGGTATTGGATGTTTTGGGATTGAGAATTTGTAGGACTTTGAACTTGGCCTCATGCATATTAAGCAAGTGCTCTACCATTGAGCTATATCCCTGGCCTTTTTTATTTTTAATTTTGAGACAGGGTCTCACTAAGTTGTCAAGGCTGGTCTTGAACTAGCAATCCTCCTGCCTCAGCCTTCCAAATGGCTGGAATTATAGGTTTGCACTATCATCCTAGCTAATACATGAGTGCAGTTCTTTTTTTCCCCTCATCTGAATAAATTCTATATCTAGATAACATTGACAATATCAGTTTCTACTGTTTCCAACCCAGAAGCCTGACTAATAGACTTTACTATTAAAGTAATTTTTTAAATATATAAAAGGAATATATCTTACTTTTCCTAGGACTGCTATAACAAATCACTATAAAGCATATTGCTTAAAACAACAGAAATTTATCTCAGAATTCTGGAAGCTGAAAGTTTAAAACCAAGGTGTTGGCCAGACTGTCTCTGGAGGCTCTAAGAAAGTCTTTTCTCTGGCTTTCTCCTAACTTCTTGTGTTTACTGGCAATCCTTTCCATTCCTTGGTTTGTGTATACATCATCCAATCAATATCTGCTTTTATTTTCACACAGTGCTCTTCCTGTGACTATTCAAATCCCCCCCACACTTTTTTTATTGATGCATTATACTTACGATGGTGGGATTTGTTGTTACATATTCATATATGCATACAACATAACATCAAATATGTGATTTTTAACTGATTGATCATACCTTCCTAATCCTGAGTTTTTATTATTTAGTCTGTCTTTATTTTATTTTAATTTATTTTATTTTATTTTGGTACTGGATATTGAATTCAGGGGCACTTTATGATGGGGCCACTTCCCTAGCCCTTATTTATTTATTTTTTTTATTTTGAGGCAGGGTCTTGCTAAGTTTTTGAAGTTGGTATTGAACGTGGCGATTCTCCTGCCTCAGCCTTTTTTTTTTTCTTTTTTTTCTTCCGGTACCAGGGATTGAACTCATGGTCTTACTGAGTTGCTTAGCGCCTCCCTTTTGCTGAGGCTGTCTTTGCACTCTTTTTTTTAACTTTTTAAAAACTTTTATTTATATTTTAGTTGTAGATGGACACAATATCTTTATTTTATTTATTATTTATATGCAGTGCTGAGAATCAAACCCAGTGTCTCACACATGCTAGGCAAGTGCTCTACCACTGAGCCACTACCTCAGCCCCATGCACTTATGTTTTTGAGTATAGGGGATACCTTATAACCTAATTTTATTGTAAATGGTCCAAAGGGTTTCAGTTTTGCTATCCAGAGGCTCTTTCATTCCATGTGGAGATTTGAAGAGAGATCAAACTATGTTGTTTCCATTTTCCCAAAATCTTTGAGAAAACTTTTAAAGAAATTCGTCTCTGAAGGATAACCTAGAGAGATGATAACTGGAGAGAGCTCTTTGATGCCAAAAGGTGGTTTGATGGTGGTTTTCAAAGTTG